AATGGCGACATTGAAAAAATTTACTGCAAAATATACGTTCATAAGGAAGACCAAGACTTCCAACGTGTTCTATTTCGTAGAACCTCCAATAGTCCGATAGAAGACTTCAAATTCAAAAATGTCACATTCGGTTTCAACTGAGCTGCCTATTTGCCAATAAGGACACTACACCAATTAGCCGAGAACTCTTAGGGCATACCCCGACGTATCAAAAATATTAAGAGGCGTACATGATATCCTCTCAGGCGGACTTAATCTAGACACAGCCGGCGAATCGATACATAGAGCTATCAAGTACTCAAGTCAGCCGGATTTCCGTTATAAAAGACAGCACAGCAAACCACAAGTCACTGACAAACCTCAGCCTGGTCTTTTAGATGAAGAATTTCTCCAATTCTAAGAGACAATCTCAACAAAAATACTCGGAATAAAATGGACAGCTCTCACTGATACATTTTCGTACTCAGTTGACCCTCTTTTTTTAAGGCACTGCCACGAAACAACAGATCCTCTCATCTACCCCGAAACTTTTCGACCCGGCATGATGGCTATCGCCCATATGAGAGCAGCGAAAACTTTTCTTCAACAACTATGGATGGAAGGAACAGACTGAGACGAAACCGTGAAGCCAATCTCACTCCACAAATGGAACACCTTCAGGAAGAATCTCGTTCTAATCGAAAAGGTAGGAATACCTTGTTGGGTGCGATTCAGCCCAAATAGCTCCATTCAGCTACCCGCGTTCTCAGATGTTTCCGAGAAGGCATTCTGTGCTTGCGTATATTAACGAGTCCACCAACGTGAAGCTACTACATCCTATCCACATCAACTCGCAGCCAATAGTAAAATGGCCGCTTACAAATCGTCTCTCTCCCTAGGATGGAACTTTGCGGCGCCGTTTTACTATCAAAATTAGTAAAGCAGATCCGAGCCTCTCCAAATCTGCCATGTCATGAATTAATTTTCTGCACAGACTCCTCAATTGTATTAGCATGTTTGGAAGAACCCCCGTAGACGTGGAAAACCTACCTAGCGAACTGGACATTTAAGATCCTCGAACTCGTGAACAAAGCTACGTGGTGACATGTCTCCAGCGTTGACAACCCAGCTGGTCTAGGTACGCGTGCAGCTAAACCCCTAAGAGCTCATCAACTATTCACTCCGGTGGAGAGGCCCCGAGTGGTTAACCAGACCATAATCTTTTTGGCCGAAAAGTTCACCAACTCATTCGTCTCCTCCCGAACAATGACAAATTGAGGCATTTCGCGCTATAGAATACACTAATTTTCTAGACCATTTCTCCTGCTTTTCCACCGCTCTCAGAGTAACTGCGTAAATATTGTAGTTTGGTTGGCACAAAAGGCTAAGAAGATGCCAAATCCTCGAAATATTTCGGAAAAACCATCACAGCACTGGAGTCAACCCCTTTTTTTGATAAATCAGGACTGCTGCGTGCAAATGGACGTCTCACTCATGCCGCCCTCAGCTACGATGAGCCCTATCCAATTATCATACCCGATAATTAATGATATTGCTCCCTTCTTCTCGAGTTCGTCCACTCAACTCTACTGCACACGGAAAAGCAGCTGATTATTCGTGTGATCCAACAGGAATACTATATACGGTGAATCCGCCATAAGTTATACGATATACAAGCAGAAAATAAGCACGCAATTGATGGCAGCGTCACCCACTGAACGGTCCACATATACACTCCCATTCCATACTACCGGAGTAGAATTTGCCGGCCCATTCCTCGTCGAAATCCTCACTCTCCGCCGAGTATCCCACTCCAAGGCATACGTGTGTGTATTCGTATGTTTCTCAACGAAGCCCATTCATCTAGAAGTATGTTCTGACTTAACAAAAGAAGTTTTTAAGGCAGCATTCGCACGATTTGTACGACGAAGAGGCATTCCCACAAGATAGAGTCTGGCAATGGCAAATCTTTCGTATTAGAACTATCTCGTTTCGTTGAGGAAGTTTCGGACAAAGCCACAACAGAATGTGCTATTCATGGACTTACATGGCAATTTATACCTCCTGACGCTCCACATATGGAAGGACTTTAAAAAAGGGGCAGTTAAAAGCTTCAAAACTCACCTCACTTAAGTCGCTGGAAATCAAAAGTTCACCTTCGAGAAACTTACAAAACTCCTAATACGCATCGAAGCGGTACTCAACTCCAGACCACTCTCTCCTATGTCTGAAGATTCCGAGGACTTTAAGGTACTAACCCCAAGCCAATTCTTATGAGGCACACCCCTGAGCTAAGCTTAGAAAACCTCTCACTTATTAATAAAAGGCAAAAGTTAAGAGAACTCCGTCATCAGTTCAGCCAGCGCTGGAGAACTGAATATCTTCACCACCCTCAAAAGCGCCCTAAAGGGAAAGGATCCCAGCGAAAGCTCAAACGAATGACGATTAGGTCGCATAACGAAACTGCATCTCCGATTCAAGGTGGAATGGTCACCCGCATCACAACCAAGCTCTGCTTCTTGCCACCAGCTTAGCTTATACATCCCACTCTTATTCTCTCCCGAAAAGCTAAAATCTGCACACCTCCACTCTCCATCATCTCATACTAAAATTGCTTCTCGAATGATGTCCACAAAACTTTGGGAAGTGCCGGCTGCGCTGCCGCACACATTCATTGCGCTTCTGCCGAGCCTTTAGAGCAGTGACCGCTGTAGAGCGATACGAGTCGGCCAAGGTTCATCGCTATTGTCTAAACTGCTTGGTGACATCGCACAACCCGGGAGCCTGGGGTAGCCGCGATAGCTGCCGCCACACGATGCTTCATCGGTCAATATATGACTTTCCCGAGGGCCAACCGAGGACGCGGAAGGTCACCTTCCGACCTGCTAATACTCGGTGCACCAATAAAATAAAATTTGTTAATTAAATGAATTTGTAAACAATACCCGAATACTTACCTGGATATTCACCTCATTAAATTTACTCCTATTCTAAACACACTAACCCGCAACCCTAATCTTTCCGTTATTAATTCCAATATCAATGTAAATGAAAATATATATAATCTCAAGAAAAAATTGTTTTCGAAGTAGTTCGCTCACTAGTAACAAATCTTTGGGTGTGACTAAATTAATATTCAATAAAGAAAAAAAAGTTTGAAAATAAAAACTTTAATTCGAATCTTTTACAAGTTTTTTAACCTAAACTTGTGCAACTTTTTAGCCACCTGTGCTTTTGTACATTTTGTCCTATAAGGGAGTAATAAAGTAAAACAAAGTAAAAATTTCTTTTTTTGGGCTCCATATTTAAATTTACGTCAAACAAAACTACGCGTATTTTTTTCTACAGCAAGCTAAAAGTGACTTATATCTGCCGAAAGAGAATATACAGTTAAAACTGTTGATAAAAATTGTCAACGCAGTCTGTATGAAAAAACGCCGGTTTCTTTTGGGGCAACCCAATATATACATATGTATATGCTGTTAACTTACGTTTGCTGCTGAGCTGGGATACATTCAAATGCACCTCTAACAAACAATTATATTATTATTTTCATGTAACTCATAAATTAAACTGCAATACACATTTGTGCTTACGTGTATGCACATTAGGGTGTCCCGTCAATGTAAGAAAATTTTTTTTGTCCTTTCTTTTGCAAGACGTATAAAAATTTATGTAAATAAATACAGATTACACAACTGCTAAACTCATTTTATTTAAGAATCATCTTCGGAGCTCTACCGGTCTTTGAAGTTTTAAATTTTCACATTTTTCTGGACTCCCTCGTAAATAAAAAACCACAGTTTAAAATACTTTTTTATTGTAGAAATAAGAAAACATAGTACAAGAAATCAATTGAGAAAAAAGACTAAAAAATATTATTATTCATGCTTTGAACTTATTTTGGAGTCAAACTTTGCCATTTCAGCTCGGAATTGCAATCTGGTCCTTATGAAGTCGTTTATCTTGTAGCTTTAGCTACACTCTGTGACCTCATTTAAAATTTGTCGAAGAACCGACGGTACTTTTACTTGACATTCGTGCCACACGATACTATTATATCAGTGTAATCATTAGCAGAGAAATAATTTTTTTTGGCGGTTTGAATAACCTACGTTTATCCATAGTTTCAACTTGTTCTGTTTGTATGATTCTTCGCGTTGCGAGCTCAGGAATGTGGTTCCTGTCATCAAATAACATGCTTACAAGAAGATTTTCAGGATGCGCAAAATAAGCATTTTTTCAATATGTAACGATTTGAAAAATGGGTTCGGCACCTTTTTTAAAAGACGCTTTTTTTAATTAAAAACCATATTGGATATATATTTTAACCACGTAGCTTACAAGCATCTGCCCAAGGATAATTTTCCATGTTGCCTGTTTGCCAGCTCAAAAGAATATATACCAACTAATATGGTTTGACACATCGCATCTAGATATTCTTGATCTGTACTTAATTTACCAACCCCCGTGTTAGGTAAGTCAGGCAAATTACCAATAACTACACCAAAAGACACTATGCAATTTTGAAATTTTTTGAAGAGCGGTGAAACCCTGAAGATAAATGTTTTTTCATTTGTCAAATTTTCATGATAATCTATGAAAGAATACGCTATTTTCGAGGGGTATTGCCTTAAAAACACTCAAAAAAATTTGTATATGCTGCTGACTTATCTAATATTCTACTTAAATTTTCTGTTACTGCGCTAGAAAATGTTATATTGCTAGATCAACTATGTTATATTGCTGAATCAACCTGTGATAAAGACTTATTATTATTATAAAAAAATTTTATTAATAAATATTGTATCTTACCTCTTAGCGTCTGAAAATTGAAAAAGTAAATGGCGTAAAATTTTCAAAAGCCATATTTCAATTAATGTGTACACACACATCTCTTTCTAGCAAACCAAAATTGATATACGAGTATGTTACTCTTCTGATTACAGAAACTATCTTATAGGAACGAATAAATAGTTTTTTGAATGTAGTGGTAATGCCGCGAAATCATGCGATTGTAGTGGAGCGATGGTTACCTCTGTTTTGTAGGCTAGTCTTTAAGTGACATTTATTTTTATTAAAGTGGAAGAAAGGTGACATCGCAGCTTATAAAAGGTCAAAATATGTGAAAAGCACAAAGGGGAATGACAAACACAAATAAACTCGTGATAGCAACTATTTTTTTTTTTTATTAAAACTAGCTTACCCGACAGACTACGTCCTGTCAAAAAAATTTGTAATGTGGCAGTGTTTTGTTCCTACCTTTTTTATATTCTTTGCAAAAAATTATCCTGAACAGAACCGTCACCCTGGTAATAATTCGGTGTGAATTAAAAATAATTAAATAAAACACTATAAGCATTTAAAAGTAAGTAATTTTAATCATGTTAATCATAATTATTAACAAAAAAAAAATCAGTTCTATTTTCATTGTAGTGCTTTGTGATAAACGATGTTTTTTGTTTGATTACCTGGCGCATACGTGTAGACAAACAAATCTGATGGTTTTCCAATGCGGGAACAGGCAACATACAATTGACCATGTGAGAAACATGGGTTTTCCAAATTAATACCACAAACACTTAATGATTGCCCCTGGGATTTGTTTATGATCATAGCAAAAGCAAGCCGCACTGGAAACTGTAGTCGTTTAAACTCAAATGGCACATCAGTCGGAATCATTGGGATGCGCGGTATGAGAACATCTTCTCCTTTATACTTTCCTTTCAATATAGTTGCTTCTATCACTTTGTTTAGTAGTTTTTTTTTATCGCTAATCGTGTGCCTTTGCAAAGGCGCATTTGGTTGATATTTCGCAACATTATAATTACCGATCTTGAGGTGGCAATACTGGCAAATCCAGCGAGCTTAAAAATTCCGGTGGATAGTTCACTACATCGTCTTGGTTAGTTGCCGAATCAACGCGATTCGCCTGTAATTCGTTCTTGAATTTTGAAATTTAATTCATTTACATTAATGTTTTTGGCTGCCAATATAGCTCGTTCGCTTAACCAATCATGGTTTCTGTAATTTTGAGCAACATCTGGAAATACCTTCTGAATGAATTCTTCTTTTGATTGAGTTAAATGACAAAAACTTTGAGGAAAGTTAATGCATCCAGTCAACATCTCAATGGGAAAATTGCCATTACCAATGACAATGAGTTGTTTAGAGAATATGTTTCCTTAGTGGTCATTTTGCAACTCAACACTCATATTCTTGCTTAAATGAAGTACTTTGACAATTTTCCATAAATTGGATGACTTTAGACATTTCTTTGAATTAATCAGCTGGTGCTGATCGTGGAATCACTGGCAATGTTTGACGAAAATCTCCTACTACAATAATAAAATCATTGCACCACCAAATCGGTTCTAATTGCTCCGTAGATCTTTTAAGGTTCTGTCTAAAGCCTCCAAAGATTTTTTATGTGCCATCGTGCATTCATCCCAAACGATCAATTGACATTGCTGCAAAACTATTGCCATTGCAGATTCTTCGAAATGTTGCAGGTTGGAGTTTCATTGCTTTGCATATTTAATGGCATTTTTAGTGCTTAATGGGCTGTTCGACCACATTCAAGCAAAGTTGCTGCTTTGTAGTTACTGCAGTCAATTGACACATCGTAACTGAAAGCAGTTCGATTCAAACTCGCGCGATTATTAGTTGAAAGTCGTGCTCGTGCTTCACGTGTTTGTGATATCTTAATTCTTTCATGTTCATTTCGGTCGTCACGTTCTTGTAGCATTTCGCGTTCTACTACTTAAATTGCTTTGTCTTATAGGAGGCATTATTAAAATATTTTGTCACATGCAATAAAACTTTTTTCATAGGTAGATAACAAAACACTGCAAACAAAACAAAAGCACACTCAGTAGAGTATAACAGAAATTCCATGAAAAACAACACCGGCAAAGGGGGTAAATCGACATTGACAGTTGCTTTTTTAATTTTTTTTAATCTGATATGACTTGAAATCAAATCCTTAAAAGCCATACCAATGTTTTATTTTTTGTCGCCTGCCGAAAGTAAAACAAAGGAAATAATATCTCGAAGCCGACCAAGTTGTTATTATTATATTTTGTGACTATTCAATTTGGTCGGGTCCACGATCACTTTTTTTTAGTTTCGGAACGCGACATTAAATCCTCCAACGACGTATTCTGTGCTCCAACGCACACACGCACACTGTTTTGATAGATATGATTGACTTTGAACTTTGTATAGCAAATTTACTTATTGACGTTAGGAATACAACTACATTTTTTAGATAACAGTGAGTGCTTTTAATTTAATATGAACTTTATATAATCGTAATAAAGTTCAAATTGATTCTACGTTTTAGTTAGAAAACCTTTGTATGTGTTTTCCCGGCAATTATTCGATTTTTTCTCGCCGTAAGAACCATCCTTGGACTTCAACGAACATTTAAAAAAAAATTGATCAAATTGGTTCAGGCGTTGTTGAGTTATGCGCATACCAACACATTTTGCGATTTACTTTTATATTATAGATTAAAATAAAGATCACTTATCAAATCATCTTTATTGCCACAATAACTAACTTTACTGACATAACATCGCTTTCGCGATTAGAGCCGATTTACAACAATGCACCATTCGTTTCTTCTTTTTGTTGTTTGACGCCAATTGAAAATACCAACTACAGGCAGATCCTTCTCTACCTGGTCTTTTCAACGCAGTGGAGGTCTTCCTCTTCCTATACTTCCACCGCCGGGTACTGTATCGAAAACTATCAATGCTGGAGTATTCGCATCCATACGGATCACCTGACCTAGCCAGCGTAACCGCTGCTTCTTGATTCGCTGAACTATATCAATGTCACCTTAACACTCGTACAGCTCATCGTTCCATCGTCTGCGGTATTCGCTTGTGCCAACGCGCAAAGGACCATAAATCTTACGCGAAACTTTTCTCTCGAAAACTCCTAGCGCCGTATCATTGGATAGTGTCATCGTTCACGCTTCCGCACCATATAGCAGGACGGGAACGATGAGGGACTTGTAGAGTTTGGTTTTCGTTCATCGGGAGTCCAAAGTAGTACCCGTTGCAAGAGTGATTCTGCGCTGGATTTCAAAGCTCTTTTATTCTCTCCTGCATCAAATTGAAGAAATCGCACGACAAAGTGTCTCTTTGTCTGAAATCTCATTTGGTACCGAACGGCTCGGAGAGGTCCTCTACGTTTTTGTCTGCGCTCCTGGTGTTGCCTAGCGTCAGCTTTCATAGCCGTATACGTTTTACGGGAATACCGAATTCAGGCATAGCGGAGTAAAGGCAGCTCATTTTCGTGCTGTCTAAGGTGGCTTTAAAATCGGCGAAGAGGTGGTGGGTGGTGATCCTCTTTTCACGGTACTTTTCCAAGATTTGTCGCATGGTGAATATCTGGCCAATGGTTGACTTACCTTGAAGCTACAGACCTCACAGCCTCCACAACCAAATATCCCCAAATGGGTTAAAGCTGATCGTCTTCGTAGGGGCTTACAATATGTTTGTCTATAGTACAAGATTCCAGCATAGGAAAATTCATCAAGCTCGAAAAATTCAAAACCAGATCGATTATGTTGTGATAGACGGAAGACATGTCTCCAGTGCTCTTGACGGGCATACACTCCGAGGACCAAACAACGTCTCGGACCTCTAAATTGTTGCACCCGTCTCTGTGTATCAAAGAACGTCAGCAAACGTAAGGAAGGTACGATGTCGAAAAGCTGCAATTACAACAGACTGATAAAAGGGATACTGCTCGACTGTTTGTCAACGTTTATGAGCAAAATAATAATAAAATGATTGTCTCCCAAATATCACTCCCCTGTAACTGATTTTCAGTCTCTGGTAGTTCGCTGTTAAATAGCGGTGAAATAGTCTCTTACTAATATCATGTAGAGGTGAAATAGTCTCTTAGCAATCCCATAGGTGGAACAAATGGCAATCAGCACACCCTGGTCCTTTTCTTTTATATACGTCCTCTGATATTATCACGTGGAGTATAATTTGGAAATTTTTCTTTGGGTCACCCGTTGCTGTTTATAGAAAAGTTGATTTCTATACATTAAAATAAAAACTTTAATATATTATTTTTTAAATTAAATTTATTGAACATCAGCTTTCTATTTGAAAATGAAAATTATAATGATTCAGAAAAATGAAAATATTTGAAATTAAAAAATCAGTAACATGTAAATCAAAAATTGAATATTGTAAGTTACAAATGTTAAAGTAGAATCCTACATTTACTCCATCTCTAGTGAAACACATATTTATTAATATTAATTAAGGTTAATTGTAACATTTTTTGTTTGGTGTTTGTCAGTGTAGTTGTGCTTCGTGAAAAAGTGGTTGACATAATGTTTGCAGGTTTAAGTAAATCTATTGATGTTGTTTTAATTTTTTTCCATATTGTATTTCAAAAGTTTTGTTATGTTTGGGTATAACTTTAAATGGTCCGTCATAAGGGGGTTCAAGATTAGACTTATGAATAACTTAACAAATATGCATTCACAGAAACTTAAATTTTTAAAAATGAAACAAGTTTCTTTATTATGATGTATTACTTTCGATATAACAAATGAGAAATGTTTTCTTAATTTGTATTTTCTCCATTTGTATTTTCAATTTCATTATTCTAATTATAATTGGAAACAATAAGTTCACATGGAAGTCAAAGTGTTTGACCATAAACTAATTCTGCTGAAGAACATTTTAGATCTTTCTTAATCACTGTTCGAAAACCTAAAAGAATCCACGGTAAAATTTCAAACCAACGAACTGAATCATTTGATGCTGTCATTGCAGTTTTCAAAGTTCTATGAAATCTTTCAATCATTCCATTTGCCTGTGGATGATATGGAGAAGTGTGTATCTTGTGAGAACTTAATAACTTTGTTAATTCATTAAATAATTATGAAGTAAATTGTGTTCCTTGATCTACCGTTATATTGAGTGGGATACCGATGCGAGGAACATAATTTTGAATAAATCAAGTTGCAACAGGAACTGCTGAAATGTCTTTAAGTGGATATGCTTCCGGCCATCGAGTATGTCTGTCAATGAATGTTAATATGTATCGATTCTATTTGGAAGAGGTCCTATTATATCCATATGAGTATGTTCAAATCGTCCAGAAGGAATATTAATCTTTTGTATTTGAGTTTTTATGTTCTTAGTAACTTTAGTTTTTGACAGTTAATGCAAGATGATGTCCAAGTATTAATTTTGTTAAAGACATGGATGAGGATGACCTCATCATCCTATAAGTACTATATAGAGAAAAATATTTAAGTAGAAAATGAATTACGAAACAACATAAGATATAATATTTTAATTAAATGAATTTATAAATAATCCCCTGAATACTTACCTAAATATTTACCTGCATACTCACCTCACTGAATTTACTCCCATTCCAAACATACTTACCAGCAACCCTACTTCGTTCCGTTTTCTCTTATTCCTATAACTATGTAAAATAATAATGTATATAAAAATGCATGCAATAGTAATTTTAAGTTTAAATATATTTTCGCTCGCGTAAACAACTTCGTCAACAATTAAATTAATAAAGTGTTAAAGAAAGTTTGAATATAAAAAATAAATAAAGGGTGTTATTATTATTTTTTAATTTGAAATTTCTACATGGTGCCGTAACCTGGTTAAAAAAAAGCTTGAGCTATTAAAAAAAAAAAATGTGTTTCAAATTCACTCGAACCCCCCGATTTACGAAGAGCGAGCGA